CCCAACATTCGTTGTGTCCAAACGGCGGTACTGCAACTTCCGTATCAGTCCGTGACGTCACCCGGCCCAAAACAACTTTTTCCCATTGACTAACATTGGGAAAGAGACGTCTGTAAATCAGCGGATACTTTTTTTTAAACTAAACAAACTACCCAGTATGAACTATTTTAAAGCCCTTATTATTATCATTAAGTCCTTAAAGTTGTAAAATGCACTAAAAGCTAGATTTATTTTCTCTCTCCATTCATTCTAGTGAGCCGAGAGTGGGAGCTCGGGGGGCGGGGCTTAAGGAGGGGCAACTCAACTGCACATGTTCTAGCCAGGCATGACGGGTAATCTGTGACGTTTCGCTCTCTCAAAAGTTGGGCCATTTTGGGAATCAGCGACGTAAACGGTGACGCAGCAGCGGAAGCACCAGTCGGGCCCTGGGCGGTGTGAACAAAACGGGGGCTGAAAAGAAAAACCGGTTCCGAACCAGAAAAGTGTGTGTGTGTGGATGCAAACTCAATACTCCTTGTGGTGTTAAATGTAAGCATGTTGGGGCAGTAACTGTGCACAGTTCCGGTTTCTGCCACCCGGCCACTGGACACGGCCCTGTCCACAAAGAATGAAAGGCTAGCGTTTAAAAGCAGTGCTCATATGCAGGTCATGAAAGAGGTGTATCATAGTGTTGACACAACAGGAGCAGGTGTATGAGGACAGCACCATCGGCTCTCTTCTAATGTTTCCTACTCAGAAAATATGTGATGACTCTCAACCTTGCCTGCTGACCCTCATTCTGTGAGAGGAGATAATTGCTTGTCAGGAATAAATAGAGAGATTAATGAATTCATTAGTGGTGGGGAGTTTAGCTCTTCGGAGCAGCACTTACTGCTATGACACATCACGCCTATTGTTTTACTAGCTAGTTAGCCTTGAACAATAACATTCACACAGCAAATTGCCTCATACAATCATGTAAAGCACAGGGAAAATGTGTCCTTATCCTGGAATTTAGCAATAATGCAAACAAAGGCTCTTTAAATTCCGATTATTCATCTTAATTACTTTTGTCTAAACAAGCGTGTGTATGTGGGAGCTGGTTAGAGACAGGACACATTAATCCACATTAGCAGTCCACACCGGACCAGTTGATGTGTGAAATTCTGCAGTTTGTTTCAGCATTTGTTCCAGATATGTAGCATCTCCATTTAATTAGCCAGAGCTTTAAATACGTTTCAGATTTTAACACAACACTTATCTCATGAAATATTGCACAAAAGTACATTAAAAGCATTTAATTTTGTATGTGAGTCCTTAAAATGGCTAAAGCTCTTGAACTCAGAGCTGTGAGGTTTGACATTTGTATTCTCTTTTTGACAAGCATAGCAGTTACTCCATTTCAAATATTGTACTCCACCTCAATTGTTCATTTTATACAAAGATCTAGCTATTTGAGTTTCTTGTAAGAGGTTATTGTAAGTAATTATAGGAGGATGTATTAACAAACATCCAGGAGACTTGATTCTGTCCCTACATCGTCACTAAGAGTAATGCCTGCATGAGCCCCGTTATGTGGTGTTTAAGAAAATCACATAATACCAATTTAATGAAATTGGGGGTGTAAATATATAATCAAATGTAGGGTAAAAATGCAGGGAACCTCCTGCACTCCTCACCTCATTTACAATAATTGTTCCCTTCTTTATGCAACGTTTTCATGCATTAGTCTCGTTAAGTTCCTCTTTAAACTATATATTTTTGATAAGCCGCTTCTCAAGAATATCTACTATTTGTATTATTTACATTACATTATTGACTGCACTTTTTACACAACCAAAAAACACAACCAAAAAACATTGCAGATGTCCAGGTTTCAGAGGTGGCTTCACTGACTGGAACTTATCAGTCTGTGTTGAACCTCTGTAAGACTTATCATTATTTAACTGCAATAGTGGTATCAAATATGCCAGGGCTATTCAATTAGTTGGTGAAAATGATCCAAAGCAAGGGGCCGGGAAAAAAATGGCTTGAAATATGAGCAATCATATTAACCTGTTTATCCCTGAGCCTGTTTTTCAGGTCTCAGGCTCGAAAATGACATTCCCAGAACAAATGACCATATCTTCACTTCTAAAAGGGTTAAATTAATAATCTTTTTTCTCAAAGTAATGATAAACCTGTGACTTGGATGTAGAAAACTCAGAATCAATATAGATGTTTTTTATTTTAAAGAAAATTCAGATTGAACATAGTAAAAAAACTGTAAATTATAGTGTCCGTCCAAAGATTATTTTTTACTTATAGTGAAAACTACCCTTGGATGATGGGTTAGTAGACTAAAAGCTTTAGGAATCCAAAGTACAACATATAATAAGTACCCTGTATCAAGATTGATGCAAAACACAAGAACTCAAGAAAATGTCAGGTCATCACATACAGTAAACAGTCAGGTTTATAGATGCATATCTTTTCAGATGCAATTTAACTAGGCTGTGTGTTCTCCACTGATACATGAAGGCTGTGAAAGACTGGTGATAAGAGCAGACTTTAAAACTGATCCTGTGTGACTGTTTGGCACAACAAAGCTGATCTAAAGAACGATAGATGCTTTGCTGCTAATCCCCCGCAGGTACGTAGAGATAAACAGCAACACAAACACAACAAAGTCCGCCCTCATTGTTTGTCTCAGCTCAGTTAGAAGCCACCGGAGCTCTGAATGACCTGACAAGAGCCAATCAAAAATACTGTCATTTCCATTGGAAAGCAGCAGGCAGCCAATCAGGAGCTCAGGTCTCGTTGGACACACCTCAACTGTGCGTATGCTGCATGAAGATGTTCTCTGATAACTGCCTCTGGCTTCAGACTGCTGCAATAACAAGGGCCTGGAGAGATCCCTCAGTCCTGATGGGTCTTTTCCTGAATGAATTTGTATTCATACTGAAAGAAAACACAAGAGCAGGAGAAACCGATTAGAATGAAACCACTTTCATGGCCATTATCTACAAGTGAATAACTTTTGAGGACACTGATCAACTCTGACACCTGTATTTGCTTTACAGTCCAAGAAACCAGCATGGATCTCAGACAGAGATTTGACAAAGCAGACTTAGTCAAATGATTCAAGTTTCTTACCAAGGCTAGCTGCCTCCCTATGTTTCCCATGGTTATCACCCCCGCGAAGAAGATGCACGGTAACCAGGAGCGAATATACAGGAAGTCTGGAGAAGTATACCTGTGCAGAGAGGAAGCACATGACAGCAACTCCAAATTCTAACATACCGACACTTAACTTTCATCCATGTTTTCCTAGGATTATATTAAATATTGCACAACAAATTTACTGAAGATATTGAAAACAGGAATGTTTTCAAATGAAAAAATAGAAGATTAATACATAATTACACAAAAGAAAGTTTCTACTATGTAATTTAATGAATATGTATTCAAAATTCTGAACCTGCAAACATTTGAATGCGTTCCACTTTTCTTGCACACTAAATGTATATAAACTAGGTGTATAAACTTACTGAAAGACTCCATTATAAACCAGGACTTGTGTGGCCAGCGTAGCCAACAGGGCGATACTGACCCCCAGGCCAAAGCCACTGCGGGAGCGGTCAAAAGTCCACCACAGTCCGATGGAGAGCGCCGCCAGAGTCAGAGACAGCTGCACGTTGTTGGCAAAGTCAACTTTCTGACAGAGGTAGGGTCAAGGACCAAGCAGTCAGTGTCTGGAAGCTCTACACTGGGTTCATATCTGTGTGACAGTGCAGCCCTGCTCTGGAGATATCACTTTGTTCAGCCAGATAGCCACATAGAATACAAGCAGACAGATTAGGCTCCTCCTCTCTCACTTATTACAAAATGGATCGGCACTTGGAGAGAGGGGGGAGGAAGCGTCCAGAGGAGAGAGGGGGGAGGAGGCGTCCAGAGGAGGGAGGAGGGAGGAGAGAGGAGAGAGGAGGCGTCCATAGGAGAGAGGAGGCGTCCAGAGGAGGGAGGAGGGAGGAGGCGTCCAGAGGAGAGAGGAGGCGTCCAGAGGAGAGAGGAGGGAGGAGGCGTCCAGAGGAGGGAGGAGGCGTCCAGAGGAGAGAGGAGGGAAGAGAGAGGAGGCGTCCAGAGGAGGGAGGAGGGAGGAGGCGTCCAGAGGAAAGAGGAGGGAGGAGGCGTCCAGAGGAGGGAGGAGGGAGGAGGCGTCCAGAGGAAAAAGGAGGCGTCCAGAGGAGAACGGAGGAGGGAGGAGGTAGGAGAGAGGAGGAGGGAGGAGGTAGGAGACGTCGAGAGGAGGGAGGAGGCGTCGAGAGGAGGGAGGAGAAAGGAGAGAGGAGGGAGGAGACGTCCAAAGGAGGGAGGAGGCGTACAGAGGAGGGAGGAGAGAGGAGGGAGGAGGCGTCCAGAGGAGGGAGGAGAGAGGAAGAAGGAGAGAGGAGGGAGGAGGCGTCCAGAGGAGGGAGGAGGCGTCCAGAGGAGAGAGAGGAGAGAGGAGAAAGGAGATGAGGGAGGAGACGTCCAGAGGAGAGAGGAGAGAGGAGAAAGGAGGCGTCCAGAGGAGAGAGGAGGGAGGAGGGAGGAGAGAGGAGGGAGGAGTCGTCCAGAGGAGAGAGGAGAGAGGAAGGAGAAGAGAGGAGGGAGCATTCACAGGTGCAGGTGGAAGTGTTCTCACTACAGGGGTACCAAAGCTCCGCCCACAGCCATCTGAGCTGCTTTGAATGGTAAAGCATGATCTAAGACAGTGGTTCTCAACCTGTCTTAGATTAGACTAGCTCCCGCTAGTGGTACGTGGAGGAATCCGACATATAAAAAATATTTTAAAAATATATATTTTTAAAAAGAATATTTTTTTATTTTATTTAAAGGTGGGGTAGGTAATTTTGGAGAAACCAGCTCGAGTGCGCAACAATTTGAAAATACACAACCGGAAAAAATCTGCCACTTCCTACAGAGCCCCTCCTCCAACAAACACGAACGCGCACATGACCAATGAGGGCACGAGATAAGTTTGTGCACAGATGGAAGGCTGACAGGCAGGTAGGTCATCCAGTTATTTTAGCCGGGCCGGCTCAGATGATTGGTCGTACTACGGCTTCCACAGATGACATTTTTTTATGGATTTTTTGTCAAAGCACTTCAGATATTCATTGCTATCGGGATGTTAAGAGCATTCCATGGAATATAACAACAAGTTTATCTCGAGCCGGTTTCTCAAACTTACCTACCCACCTTTAACAACGAAAAGATTAAGGTTAAGAAATAAAGAAAGTATAGAGGAAAAACATCTTTGTCTGTAATATGTGCAGTTAATACAAAAAAGACTTAAATGGCACATCCCTCCAACAAGAGCAAATTCTCTTATTGTTAAATATTGTTGTATGAATTGTTTGAAAATGTTTATGTATACAACTGTGTATCAGCTGAATAT